ACCATTTTTATCTTATCAAGCTCTATACACTATTTTATTTTAATAGTCTATTGATTATAATTTCTTTAAAAGTATTTAACCGTGTTTGCTATCTATTGTTAAGCCTTTATGTAGCAAATAAATTGGCCCTCGATCCTACAAATGTATTTTTTGGGTTATAGCAAAATACATAGAGGTTATTTATGCATGGATTTTGCTACGGAGAAAACTTATGTCTTATGTCGACTTAATTTTTTTGAATAAGAGTTTCTATTTATTGAGAACAATACTCGCCCCCTTTTAACAATTCATACACTCGTTTATCTTTCTAATTTGTCCTTTGTCAAACCCACCAATACTTACTCGTTACCATTCCCTCTCCAGCATCCACTCGTCGGATATCACTCCATGGTCTATTGTAGCCTTACCCAGAAGCTCAAACTCTTGGGCCTACATCAAAAATTTAGTATCTACGTCACGGATCGTTCCACTTCACAACTCAAGGCCTAACCTACTACTCTAAGTAGGTGTTCTAGCCTCTTTACCCACTTCTCTAGGCTATCTCACATCATAGCCCATGGCCCATCGATCTCTTACTCGGTTTCTTAAAGGTCTTAGAGCCTCTCAATCCACTTTTACCTCTTGTCCGATCCACAATCACTTACCTATCGTTGAAAACCAAGCAACCTATATACCCATAGCCCATATGCCTTCACCATGTTTGTCCATTCTATAGCTTATGAATTAAAGAGTTACTCACCCAATACGCCCCTTAATTATTCCTCCAAACCACCATTCTAATGTCTCTACTACTCAGCCTCCTATGCAATCATCCAAGCATCCGTCACTCCATGATCACTAGATCCAAAACCGAGAACTTGAAGCTAAAGAAATTTGTAAGTCATTTTGCACCAATTATAAGTCCCATTCATATGCTTAGTCTTTTAAACATGACCATTAACAAAAAGTAATGAAAGAGGAAATTAATGCGTTAATCGGTAATGATACAAAGATCTTGGTACTAACCATTTCCTCCTAAAATGTCATATGTTCTAAATGAGTGTATCGAATTAAAACATGGACCGATGGTAGTATTGAACTCTACAAAGCCCAATTTATTGCTAAAGGGCATCATTAGCGACCTCACTTAGATTACATAAAAACTTTCTTTCTAGTTGTTAAACCTATAACTATCAAACTTATTCTATCTTTTCTTGTTTTAAAACATTAAGATATCAAGCAACTCGAATGTTTCTAATGCCTTCCTTCATGGCAGCCTTGATGAATAGATTTTTATGACTTGGCCACGAGAGATTTGCATATCCAACTAAACCAAATCATGTCCGTTAAGTCGTTATGGTCTTAAAATGGCACCCCACTCTTAGTTTCCTTGCCTTTTCACTACATTAGTCAATCTCGGCTTTGTTAATTCTAAGGTTGATTCCTTTTTGTTCTCTTATCATAATAGAGATATTTGTGTCTATTGTTTGGTTAATGTTGATGACATCGTACTAGAATAGATCTCTTCATCTTTACTATCATCCATTATTCGTCGCTCTCCAATAACTTTTACCTCTTAAGTATTTTGGACGACTATATTATTTCGTAGTATTAAAGTCACTTGGACTCTTAAGGACCTTCTCCTAGCTCGGTCCAAGTACATTGATGATATTCTCCTTCGATCCACTATGCATGAAAGCAAACCTATTGCCACTTATGTCCGCCCTAAGTTGTCTTACTATGTACGTGAGTGAGTCATTCTCTAATCCAACTCTATATCACGGCTTTGTTGGGAGTCTTTAATATCCGACTCGACTCATCTAGATGTCTTTTATGCTATCAATAAGGTATCACAATTTATGTACTTTCCCACAATCGATCATTGGCAAGTAGTAAAATGTATTTTGTATTATTGAAAGAACTCTCGCTCTTATGGTTTATTCGTCTATCGTTCCTCCACTTTGAATATGTTTACCTATAGTGATGTTGATTGAGTAGTTAGTCTTAATGATAGAAAAATCAACCACTATGTATGCAATATTTCTTGTCAATAATCTCATTTCCTAAAGTTCTCAACGTATAGTGTCAAAATCTTCCATTGAGGCTAAATATAGGCCTTGTCTACTCGCTACCTCTAAAGTTTTTTTGCTCCAATCTTTGCTTCATGAGTTGTACTTAGCTTCTTCAATTGCTCTCATATTGTGATGTAATAATCTAAGTACTACATGGCATACTCGCAACCCGATCTTTCATTCTCAATCAAAATATTTAGAGATTAATTTCCACTTTGTTCATGAGAATGTTTGTTAGGGTGATTTATTTGTCAAATACATTTCCACAAAAGATTAGATTGAAGATTGCTTAACGAAGGCCTTGTCAAGACATCGTTTTTAATTTCTTTACGACAAGTTGACCATTCCGTACTTCCCCGCTCAACTTGAGGTTGATAAGATAATATGTTCTATTATGCTTCTAATTTCAAATACAAATAAGATAGGATTCTACTATTCAAACTTCAAATTATTTTCAAGCTCAAAATATTGTTATCTATATAATATAGGCTTCTTTCAAGCATTAATTTAAGGATTAAAAGTCTAGGATGTACTTCTACTATTTTATTTGTCTTAATCGTGTTCCTCTACTAAATTTTTCAATAATCACATCCATGTACTCTTAATTTGTGTTTGAATTTCGTCCCTCTTTCCAATTTTTCAAGTAGTGGTGATAATTTTAGCTTAAAACTGATGGGATGCTGACATGTGGTATTAAATTAAAAAAAAATCCTTAAAAAATCCAAACAAATTAAAAAAATTCCAAAATTCTCCTATTTTTCTCTACCTTTACGTATAGAAATAAATAATTAGTTTCACCCCTCTTTCTTTTCTTTTTTTCCTTTCTCTCAAATTTAAACTAAAAAAGAAAATTTTTTATGGGTAGGAAGGAATGAAGCAAATTTTTTTATTTCAAAAATTTAATATGAAAATTTCTTTCAAATCCAAACCCAAAAAAAATCTTCATAAAAAATTTCAAAAAAAAATACTTTTATTCCTTCATATTCTTAAAAAAAATGTATTTTTTGGTTTGAATTTGAGAGAAAAAAATTAAAAGGTGAAATTAATACTAGTTTAATTAAGGGTTTATTGGTAATTTTTTAGAAACAATTGGTGAGAATAATAGTTTGGTTTGTGAATTTAGCAAGTACATTAATGTTTTTCGAGTCATTTTTGTTTCGATTTCAAATTTCATTGTGTTAAAGTTTGGTCCTTAGTTGAAGGGGAAAAAATTACTATTCATTGTCACAAATTATTTCTTTTTCTTTCTTTCCCTAAAATCTTAACCACTTAGTCTGTCGCAGTGGCGACGTCAAAAGCAAAGGCAACGATTTCGAGCGGGAATATGGAAAAAGGGAAAAAATAATTGGAGTCGCCACCTAGTATTATGGTTACTAGGAAACCCTATGACTCGATCCGTTTAGAGTTCTAGGTAAAGGGTTTATTATGTATAGGAAAGATTAAAAATCATCCTACCCCTCATGCCTAAGATAAGCTACATTGTATACAAATATGACATGATTTCTGATTTTTTATGATAAAAGACTACACCTATTTTTCAAATATTTGCCCCCTAGTCGAGTGATTCGGAACTTAGCCGATCAAAGGCCTTACCCTCACTCTATAATGGATGGCTAAAAATGATGAATGTAAGGATGTGTTGCGAATGCAACTTAGACAATGTGCATGAAAACAAAACTTAAAAATAATAGGCACATAGGCAAACAAAGAAAACAAGTAGATTGATGAAATCGACAAATACGCAAATATGCAAAATTGACAAAATTGCCAAAAAATGAACAAACATGCAAACAATGGCAAAATCGACAAATCAACAAATAGACAAAATCAGCAAAAATCGATAAATAAGAAATTAGGCAAAAATTACCAAATAGGCAAAATTGACAATTAGGTAAAAATCGACAAATAGACAAAAATCAACGAAATAGGCAAAATCAAAAATTGGCAAATAAGCAAAAATCAACAAATAGGCAAAATCAACAAATAGGCAACTCGATAATTAGAAAAAATCAATAAATTGATAAAAATTGACAAGTCAACAAAAATTGGCAAGAATCAATAATTAAGCAAAAATCGACAAGTTGGAAAAAATTGACAAGTTGAGCAAAAATTGACAATTAGACAAAAATCATCAAGTTCAACAAAAATCAACAAATAGGCAATTTTTGGTAAAATTGGCGAAAGTTATAAAAACAATAAAAATGACAAAACATGTACAATTGGCAAAAATGGAAAAATTGACAAAAATCATTAAAGTTGATGGAAATGATCCGAAAACAGGATTAGGATCGATGAGACTTTAAAGGTTGTGATTTTCAAGCAAAGTTGGCAAAACCATTGAAATTGACAAACATAAACCAAAAACAAGATTTGAGTCGACACAACAACGAGTATAGTGATTTTTAGGCAAAATTGATGCAATATTAATTCATTATTGTGATTGGTAAAAATGATCCAAGTCGAGATTCAAGCTAACACGTATATAAAAGAAAATCTCACAACAACGATGACATTCAACCACATCAACAAGCGTAAATGCAACCAAACTAAGATAACGTAACATTAGTGCAATTAAACCATACACACCACAACAATCAATAAATCAAGACATACATGAACAACGATTTAAATTAATTACAAGCACATAAAAATTTTAATCAATTAAACTAACATAGGCATAAATTAAATTTAATACATATTAAAATAAATCAAAATAGAATAAAATGAAAGATAAAATAAATCACTATAAAAAAGCGAGATGGATTGGATCGTAAAATCGAGGTTAATTTTGACTCTTGTTAATCTCGATTGAGACCGATATTCGGTTAATCGGAGAGGAAAGATGACTAGGAGCAACATACTGTCATATCTAGAACAGTCGGCAATCGATGTTTGGTTGTGTTAGATCTAGAGTGGCTACCGATCGCGATAGTCGTTGGACATAAAACGATGGTTGTTGAAGGAGCACACACGAGTGGTGGTCGGGCCGGAAGGCCGTGGTGTGCACGTTGGAGGATCGTTGGTGGGCAACCTAGAGGGCATGTGCTCTAGGGGCACGCTAGGATGGTACACGCAGAACGTGCCTACTATATGCTAGCTTGGGTGTTCCGAGGGTTGATTGGTGGTGTTAGGTGAGGCCGTGGCCGTGGTCGGTGGAGCAACAAGCCCGTATGGTGTCGTGGCTGGTGGAACCGCCGCATGGCCGAGGCGTTGCATGCCTGGGCGAGGTAGGTTAGGGTGTCCGGTTGAGGTGTTGTTACGTGTTAGGGCCGCCGGCGTGGCCGAGGGCGTGGGCTTAGTTAGGCTACGAGAGACGACTAAAGGTTGTAAGGTGTGCTTGTGTGTGGAGGAGTTATGGGCATGGTAGGCGGGTTGTTGGCGAGAAAAGGAAGGTTTGGGTGAGAGAGGAGGGTGCTACATGTGGAGGCTAGCAGAGGGCCGTTACGCGAGAGAGAGGGAGGCGGTAGGGGTATGTGAGCTGGTGTACGTAGCTATAGCTAGCAAAATTTTAAAGAAAATGATTAATAGTAACTACCATTGTTTGGATAAAATAAGAGCTTTTATACTTGGTTTTTAGGGTTTTTTTTGGCTAAGTTTGGTTTGGTCCCTCATCTCATAAATTCATTTTATTTTGATCCTTTTCTCCTCTCATCTTTAATTACATCTCCCAATTTTATTTTTTAGTCCTTTTTTTCTTTTTTTATATTTTTATTTTTTGAAAAAAATTGGGTGCTAACGAGTTACCCTCTTTTAACAATGCTTACGATGCGAAGTCATTGAAAAACTAACTTTTCTTTGGCTTTGCATAGTAAGCTTGTAAAGAAAATCATACAAAAATGACAAACAAATAAATCAATTCATAAGAGTGTAAACAATATACCCGGTTGTCCTCAAAGGAACATTAATTATTACTGCCAAAACATACACTTCCCTCTCAACTCGTAATCTATCTTCATTGGAATAGGCTCGTGGTTTCTAGGCTAGTTGCTCTTATCGATTTTTGATATGTTTAATCACATGTCTTCTAATTATGTGCCTTTTAAAATTTCCGATTAGGCTATCTTCCATGTCATCGAATGGCATTTGCTATTATGGTTAAGCAAACAGCTTGTTCATTCTTTCATTCTTTCATTCTTCCGGAGTATTACCCCCAAGTGTTCGAGCTTTTGTCAGCACATATCGAAAATTTTAACCGATAAATTATGAAGATAGTTTTCATCGTCATCTTCTTAATCCATCGTAGAAGACTCGATGCCATATTTCACAAAGAAAATGTCCTTATCTACTAAGCTCGAGCAAAACTCTTATTAGGTTATCACTTATCGATTTGGTGCATCATTACATTTCATAAATAATGTTTAATCATAGGATCGTGTATAAGACCAAAGAAAGGGCTTTGTAGGGACATATCATATTTATGGAAATCGGGCCATTTTGAAAAATAAATAAGAGCAAATCATGTTATGTTGGGCAAAACAAGAATATGATAAGCGAAGTTGAAATGATTGATCTAATGAATTTTAGTCATAACTTAAATGATTTCTTTGTTGCTCCGGATAAAAGTGAAGTTAACTTGATTGGGCTTTGATTTTTTTTCATTTCATTTTCTAGCAGTCTCAACTTTTGGCTATTTTGACTTTCATGGATTAAGTCGTATATTCAAATAATTTCCATCAAAGCAAGTTTAATTATTCAAAAGAAATCAAAGAGAAGTTTACAAGAATGTAATCCCATTCAAGAAGACATTTGATTCATTTGGTCGAAAGCCAAAAGATATCATGCAAATATTGTGATACAATCCTCAAGGTGATCCTTTTTAAGCTAAGTGAGTGGAATTTATTCGAATCATATCAAAGGCTTGGAAAGGAATCACTTTTTGGAAAGAGAGGTGTCGAATGTTGGCTCAAAGGAAGTGGGATATTCGAATGGATGTCATAGGCTCAAAGGCTTTTCAAAAAAGGTAGGCTCAAATGGGTTTTGTTTTTTTTACTTAGAGGTTTTTTAGATAGGCTCAAGCGGTTTCTTGGGTTCAAAGGCTTCTTAAGAAAATTAGGCTCAATTAGATAGTTTTGGTTAAAAAGATCTTGATTTCATTTTCTTCTAAGTATTTAATAAAAAAACTATTAATCCAATACCATGAATGATGATTTCGATACACAAGCTATTTTTCCTTTTTCCTTTTTTCCTTTTTTTTTTAATTTTTTTAGTTAAAACTTATCACCATAAAACAAGTCATCCTCGATCGAAAGGGCTTTTAAATGCATGCCATGTAGGTTAAGGCTTGGGCTCATAAATAAAAGGATATAAAAAGGTTTAAAAGGTGTTTGAGGGTATAAAAACTCAAGATCACATGATCACCCATCAAAATTATTGTAGGCTTGGCCATACCGAATTTGGCATTTTACTAGCCGATCTCATCTTCTAATCTCATTTCTCCTTTCATGTTCTCTCATATCATTCTTGAGATTCCATAACCTTTTCTAGCTCCGAATCACAACAAGGGGCACTTAGATGACACTTTCTTTCATTTAGTGTCATTTTATTATATACTTTTCCTCTCTCTTTTTTTACCCTTAGAATAACTATCAAGGCTCTTCTCTATTTTTATGAACTAAATCTCTAATTTTTTTAAAGAGAACATCATCCATTTCACACACCTTCAAATTTCCCCTAATGTGAGGGGTGAGTTTTTATCGAAAGAAATTATCAAAGCCTCAAAATAGGATGATGAAGGGTAAAATTTATTTGTGAATGATATATAAAAAATGATCTTTTTTCATCTCTAGTTTGACTTGCTCAAGTTGATAAGCTTTAGTTTCATTTAAAAGTCATGTTTTATGGAGGAAAAACAATAGATCGAACGGTATCATTACTTGAGTGTGCACCACTTATCATCATTTAAGACATCAACTCATTTGGTTTCTTATTTAGGGTATCATTATATTATTCTATGCAAGTCCGTCTTGAAAAGGCTCGTAAAGAAAAGACATTTTTGGTTTTGATAAAAATAAACTACCCCTTGGCATTTACATGACATGTTTTGAAAATCGATCACTTTTGAAATATGTTGAATGCATTCACCATTTTACTTCCTCCGACTTGGATGGCATCAAATGGCGAATTATACTTTTAAATAAACATCTCTTAGTTTCAAACTAATAATAAACCATGTTAAGATAGTAGAAATTTTTTTTTATTCAAAGAAACGACTCAATCCATGAAAATCAAAACACTTTTTCTTTGTCTAGTGTCATCAAAGTTAGGCCAATAATTTTTACCACAATCATTTGGTGCTTTCGGGATATGACAATATTGGATATCTCAACTAGAGAATGAAAATAAGATAAATGGAAGAAGATAGGCGAGAGATTAAAAAAATTTACATGATCCCACAAAATAACATTATTATAAAAGCATGATGAAAAGTTCAGCATAATGTACTTATAAACTACAATGAAAAAAAGGCAAAGATAATCATAATAAGAGAACCACTCAGTATTGGAAACAATAGACACTTCTTCATCAAACCAATTGCTTAACTCCTCTCCTTAACTCGATTTTGTGTTATCCAATGATAGCATATTTTCTCATCAAGTAGTGGCATGATTTGGCAAAGGATTAGAATTAATGTTTAGGGAATTTGAGTAATCTTCAAATGCAATCAAGTCTTGATCAATCAAATTTCATATCATTTTCTTGAAGCTCACATAGTTCTCAATATTATGACCATTAACACCACTATGGTATACACAAACTTCATTAGGCTTATACCAATGAGGGAATATCGGTTGGAGTGATGCGAGTGTCATATGAGTTATCCGACTAACGGTTACCATATGCTCAAAGAGATTACCAAGAGGTATGGAAAATGATAGCAATATATCGTTAAATTGTCCCCTGTCGGTATTCCTTAGAGAGTTTTGATTTAGTTATCTTAATTGGTTTATGAATTGTTATGGGTTCTAGTAGTGTGTTTAGACAATTTAGTAAGGGTTATGTGGCATTTAGTATTATGAAAAAGTTAGTATTTGGGATGTCATTCGGCTACGTTGGTTGGAATGCCATTTATGGGAATTATAAACGATACGGATGAGTTAAGCATGTTATTTTGAGGGATGAATCGACTCGTTATTCTTTCAAAAGTTATTCCATTGCCCCTTAGGAATGAAAAAAGATCCTCCAATTTGATGTACCTCTTGGTCTTTTCTCTTACAAAAGTTACTCCTCTTGTATCTAGATTCTAAAAGATTGACTACCTTTCTCGACTTGATGGCTTGTTCTATCCGATCTACGATAGACACTATCTCTATAAAGTTTTTTGGCTCATTACTCTATAGACGATCATAATATGGGGCCTTAAAAACGTTGATAAAAAGAGTGACCAATTCTCTCTCAAAGAGGGAAGGATGAATGTAAGAAGTCGTTCCTCGTCATCGTTAAGCATACTCCCTAACGTATTCCCGTGGACCTTTTTTCATAGAATGTAAACTAGATCTATCGTGTGTTATCTCCGGATTAAAATTGTATTACCTCATAAATACATTCGTCAAATCCTTCCACCTCTTAATCTTTGTTTGGTCAAGGTCAATAAATCATCTAAGAGCGAGACCCATCAAAACTTTTGAAAAAGAAATGGATTAATAGCTTTTCATCATATGCTACCTCGACTATCTTGTTCAAAAAGATCATTAGGTGGGTCCTAGGACATTGACTCCTAATGTACTTGGTACTTGGCAAGTTCAAACACTTTAAGATCTCGAGGAATCACCACATTCCGCATTAGATATTTATCTACACTAAAGAGGGGATCGTATATATCTACACCTTCAATAGCTCTCAAGCGTTCCTCAATGGTTGTGAGCTTCTCAATTTTGAATTCTAAAGCTATCTTTTCCTTGGCCGACTCTTCTATAAGGAAATCGGTAGTTGCTACTATCGGTGCTTAGATAGTTTGATGCAACATAAAAGCAGAGCTCGAAGGTTTAGGAGCAAACTCATACAAGCCCCTCGGTGTAGGATAGTTAGCATGATTAGTAGTACCGATAGACTCTAAATTAGACATACCAAGAGGTGGTACTAGCGCAGCGAGTCCGAGTGATTGGCGGTGACATGATGGTGAACACTTTTGAAAAAGATAATGATTGGCTAACTTCTCTTTGGATGATAATTTTTGAAGACATACGATTTGGCCGACTTTGTTCCAACGAGCATTAAGCCTAAGCAACCTCTTCTTTTAGTGCCTCTACGTCCTTTTGGTGATTTTGCTCAGCGAGAGATCTTTCTTCGTTCTCCATCCTTTTCCTTACTCTAGTATGGTAAATGTACGAGGAAAGTGTAGTTTTGATAAATCAATCAATGTTTTTGTTC